TTTGAGCCAGATAGTCCTAGCTGTCCTGGAACTTGGTTTGTAGACCACACTGGCCTCAAACACAAGAGATCCACCTCTCTCTGCTTTCTGAGTGAAGGGATTAAAGGCATATGTCACCACACCCAGCAATATTCTGTTTATTTATTTTTTAATTTTATTTATTATTTTTATTTTATGTGTATGTGTGTATTGCCTGCGTGTAGGTAAGTGCACCCGTGTCCTGCAATGCCTGCGGAGGTCAGAAGAGGCTGTTGGATCCCTTGGGACTGGAGTTACAGACAGTTGTTAGCTGCTATGTGGGTGCTGGGATTCCAATCCGGGTCTTCTTCAAGAACAACCAGTGTTCTTAACCGCTGAGCCGTCTCTCCAGCCCCCTGTGTTTTTTAAATATTTTATTTGCATTTTTTGTGTGTGGCTGTTTTGCCTCTGTGTACCATGTGCATACAGTGCCTGTGCTGGCCAGAGGAGGGCATCAAAACTCCTGGAATTGGAGGTACAGATGGCTGTTATCAGAAATGTGGGTTGCTGGAAACCAAGCCCGAATCCTCTTCAAAAGCAGCCAGTGCTCTTGATGTCTGAGCCATCTCTTCAGCCCCCATTCTGTTATCCTAATAAACTTTCCTCCAAGATAGAAGGCTTTATCTCAGAGGAAATTGCTACGTAACACTGCGAAGCAGAGGAGAGCGATCTGGAAACAGTAGGGCCCTGCACTCTGGGGGAGCCCTACAATGACGGGGACAAGGCATTTGGGAGGCAGTGTAGGCAGTGACCCCTACTTGATTCGGTGCTTTATGTCCCTGGAAAGCCCTAGGACTCTGGGGTGAGGTGGAGGTGGAGGGTGAAGTTCCTTGGTCCAGGCACTGTGTAGGGAGTGGGGCACTTGGTGGGGAAGGTGTCTGCCTTTTAAGAAGGAAGTTCTACTGAAGATGCTGAGGTGAATCTTGAACCCATAACCTCCCCGTGTCCCTTGCCCAGGAGGGCATGGTGGGAAGTAGGCATGACCCACCAGGGGGCGCTGGTCAGTGTGTGTATTCATGGGGCATCAGCCATCCCATGGCAGCCTGTTTGGGGATGCTTAATCTGTCCTAGTGGTAATCCCCTCTGTGGGAAAGGAAGGGAGCCTGGGGCTGCCCCTTGCTCTCAGGAACAGTTCCTCTGTACCCTGCCCTGGCTTCCTGCACTCTATTCCCTTCTACCATGCCCCAAAGACTCCACCACTAGGCATTTATGAACAGTTAGAACCTGAAAATTAGAGAGTTAAAAGCTGATTTCTTTTTCTTTCTTTTCTTTTCCTTTGAGACAAGGTTTCATGTAGCCTAACCTGGCCTATGTAGCTGTGTTTGGCCTTGACCTTCTGACCCGCCTGTCTCCACCTTAAGTGCACCACTATGCCTAGTTCGTGGGTCCTACGAGTAAAACCAGGCTTCACGCATGCTAGGCAGGTGCTCCGCTGCCCAAGTTACATCTCCAAAGTTACAGCCCCCAAATCAAATTTTTTTATAGAGTTTATTTTTCATTTTTATTGAATTTTTGTGTATTTCATACAGAAAATCATCTTTATACCCCCTTCTCCTTTGGTACCCTCCCCCTACTGGAGTTCATACCTTCTGTCATTTGTGTTAAGGCCTGTCATGTAAAGTTAGTGTCCCAGATGTCCCTCAGTGCAAGTTCATCCACTGGATCTAGTCAGTCTATCTAGAGTCCCTCCCTTTAAGAAGATTAGCTCATTCTCACCCAGCAGTAATCAGCTCCCAATAATTCTTCGACTAAGATTGGGGCCTGCTGTTTATTTCCACAGTTCTGTGCTGGGTTTCTGTCTGCTTGAGTTTGCATGGGTCTTGTGCATGCTGACACCATTGCTGTAGGTTCATCTGAGAAGAGTCCCAGGAGCCTGTAGGACTATTTCTGTATTGTCATGCACCTCCTCCCTGGCTCATACAATCTTCCTGCCCCCTCTTCCACAATGATCCCTGAGCCTTGGGTGGGTGGATTTTATTTCATTTTATTTATTTATTTTTGGTCCTTTTGGTCTTCTTGAGACAGGGTCTCCCTGTAGCCCCAGCTGTCCTGGAACTCAGTATGTAGACCAGGCTGGCCTCGAACTCACAAAGATCCGCCTGCCTCTGCCTCCCAAGTGCTGGGATTAAAGGCATGTGTCACCATGCCCCGCTCCCTGGCTTTTTAAAAAATGTATTTATTATTTTATGTGTGTGAGTGTGTTTCAGTGTATGTAAGTGCACCTGTGTTGTGCAATGCCAATGGAGGTCAGAAGAGGGCATTAGACCCCCTGGAACTGAAGTTACAGATGATTATTAGCACCATGTGGGTGTTGGGAATGGAACCCAGGTCTTTTGCAAGAGCAGTCAGTGCTTTTAACCACTGAGCCATCTCTCTAGCCCCACTTTTCTTTCTTATCTCCTATAGATAGTGGCATACATTTTGACTGGTATTTTAAAATACTGCAAGGAGATATAGAAATGGCTGAAATGCAGGGGGGGATCAGGGAGGGCTTGAACAGGAGATGTGGCAGAACTGCATGTACACCTAGATAATACTTATGCCTTATCACACTAGGAATGCAATTTACAGGTAAGGACTATAGTACCCATCAAGTAACTTGCTTTTAAGTATAGTACCCCTTTCTCTCTGTGTGTGTGTGTGTGTGTGTGTGTGTGTGTGTGAAAGAGAGAGAGAGAGAGAGAGATAGAGAGAGAGAGAGAGAGAGAGAGAGAGAAAGAGAATCTCATTATGTAGCTCAGGCTGACCTTGAAAGCACTGTTCTGAGATCCCTGTGTGTGTGTGTGTGTGTGAGAGAGAAAGAGAATCTCATTATGTAGCTCAGGCTGACCTTGAAAGCACTGTACTTCTGAGATACCTGTGTGTGTGTGTGTGTGTGTGTGTGTGTGTGTATAATAAAACAAAGTAGCTTATTAACTCACCACTCAAATGCTACTTCTATAAGACTAAAAAATAATGGATAGCATAAAATACGACAACCCAGGCATGTGTTAGAAAATCTAAGCCATAAAGAAAGGAGTAAGATGAAGTGTGCATACCTGTAAGTCAAACATTCAGCCCTTCAGGCTGGCTCTGGCACATGCACCCACTTTCCTGAACATACCCTAGATTCTTGACTGTGGCCTTTACTAGTAACCTGCACAGTAGCCATGTAGGCCTCTGGATCTCTTGGATCATTTCTTATGGACTTATATGTGTGCTTTGTAACGGCCCTTGGTATCGTATCATTTCCAGGTTTATCAGTGGCTCTGATGGAAAGATTTGACCTGAGCAAAGTTGCTCCTTTCTCCTGTGTACCCCAGTGTGTAGGTACATAAGACACCAGGGTCTCTAGTTGGGGAACCTTCTAAGTGATATCCCAGGCTCTCTGAGGGCTAGAAGGGTAGGCTGTCTTTGCCCTGTTAAGGGAAATGATGGAATAAGTGGATCTTGTTCATTTCTAGGTCAATTTCTGTCAAAGATTAACCAAAGGCCAAATTAAGCGCCTCAAAATTCTTTACAGTCTTCTTGTCTGCACAGTTCAGAAAGGTGGAGTCCAGGCCTTTCTACAGCAGGGGCTTGGGAGTGAGGTTTAGTAGGCTGATGGAAGCCTGTGTGTGCATGTTTTGAGGATTCAGGCCCAGCACGCATGCACAGACCTGCGGACTATGTGACCACTCTGCCTTGTGGAAATAGGCCCTATGGCTCAAGGCAGGGTATGGGTGTGCCATGGAGCCTCAGCTTTCCCAGTTCTCCTCTGCTCTCTCCCGAGACTGTCCTGAAGCAGTCTCCACACTGAGGGCCTGGCCATGCTTTCTTTTCTCTCCCATGTGCCTTTCCAGCCTGGATGAGGCTCTTTGAGGTAACCAAGGTCCCACCCCAGAATGAACTGTACACGGCCACAGGGTCCTTGGTGGAAACTTACTTAGTTCCTCTTTCTTGTGTCCTTTTCCATTTTAGGGTGTCAGGTTTGAAATCACAAGCTTTTGCTGTCAACTTTGTGAACTCTGCTCATTGCAATGTGGGGGGCCTCTAGCCAAACTTCATCTGACTAGACCTGGTAAACAGGAACAGGCTACCTACCCTGCTCTTGCGTATCAGAAGGGCTGTGTGTGCTGGGGATGGAACTCAGAGCCTTGTGCATGCTGGAGAAGCTAGCTGAATCTAGGAAACCAAACAAAAACAACAGTCTGCATAATTTATTCACTTTGCATCGCCTTGGTGATTCCCACAAGGAGATGTGGTCCAAAGAAATGACCAAAGCACTGGGCATGGAAGTGCATACCTGTAATCCCAGCCCTCAGGAGGATCATGAGTTCGAGGCCATCCCTGTCTTGAGAAAACAAGGGCTGGTGATGGAGGTCAGTGGTAGAGTGCTTGCCTGGCACACACAGGCCCTAGGTTTCATCCACAACCAAAAGAAAGTAGAGAAAGAACAAAGGACCACAACTTTCATGCTTTCTGAGTCAAAGAATGAGAATTTTGTAAGAAAGGATGGGACAAGTGGATCTCTGGAACAGGCTGGTGAGTTCTAGAGAATGACGATCTATGAAGCTTGTGGAAGACAAGAGTCACTCCAATGAGATCATTTATTCAGGTTACCCATTATGTCTCTGGTGATGAAGGCTATTCAAGAATTCTTCATGGCCTGCTGCATGTAAGAAAAGACAGGTCACATGACCCATCCTGCACCTACAGTTCCTCTTTCAACTGGAAACAAATGCCAGTTCAGTGTGAAATGGCTCCTATTTCCTTCACTTAGAAAGCACCCAGGGTTGGGACCCATGACTTGCAGATCCCCAAGCACGCACATTGCTCTGTCCACTAACAGGTTCTGCAGAGTGCCAGGCTTGCTTGGCTCAGACACTGAGTCATGTGGCTGACTTCTCTGAACTTTGGCCCTCCTTCAGCACAAGGGGCCAATGGCAGTGAGTTGAGCGGAGGAGCACAGAGTGGGTGAGCCAGACCAATTAAGCCTCTGCCCCACCCACCCTGCTCTGCAGATGCTGTTGGCAGCCATCCCATTGGGCCTCCTGCTGGTAGCCTTCCTGTTCCTGAGACGCTTGGGCTGGGGCTTGGTAGCTATCTTCTGGTTTGAGTACATCCAGCAGCCAGTTCACAACCTGCTCATGGGAGACACAAAGGAGCAGCGCATCCTGCGCTATGTGCAGCAGCACGCAAAGCCTGGGGACCCCCAGAGCGTACTGGAGGCCATTGACACCTACTGCACACAGAAAGAATGGGCCATGAATGTGGGCGATGCAAAAGGTAGGTGACCCAGCCTGCTGCCAGTCAGATCCTGAGCTGGGTGTGGCAGCCCTTGTGGGAGAGTCCTGTTAAGGGGAGAAGGGGACCTTGAGCCATGCTCAAGTGGGGGTTGGGGATTCATCTGGAGCTGCAGGCCCAGTCTGATGCTCTCCTGCCTGGGGTTAAGTCTGTTCAGAGACCTGAACACCCACTGGAGGACTCTGTCATTCTTTGGGTTGTGGCAGTGCAAGAGAGGATGTTTGGGGGCGGAAAGTTGGTTCAGTGGTTAACAACACTGGCTATTCTTGCAGAGGACCCAGGTTCCATTCCCAGCACCCACCTGGCAGCTAACAATTGTCTGTAACTCCAGTACCAGGGGAATTTGACACCCTCTGCTGACTTCTGCTGGCATGGCATGACATGGGTGCACTTACATATAGGCAGACAATATACTCATACACATAAAATAAAAAATAATTTTTTTATAAAAGAGAGGATGTTGGCCGGGCGTGGTGGCGCATGCCTTTAATCCCAGCACTTGGGAGGCAGAGGCAGGCGGATCTTTGTGAGTTCGAGGCCAGCCTGGTCTACATAGTGAGTTCCAGGACAGCTGGGGCTACAAGGAGACCCTGTCTCAAAAAAGACCAAAAAAAAAGGATGTCTAGCTAGGTGTGGTGGTGCACGCCTGTAGTCCCAGCACTCGGGAGGCAGAGGCAGGTGGATATCTGTGAGTGCAAGGCCAGCCTGGTCTACATAGTGTGTTCCAGGCTAGCTGGGGCTACAGGGAGACCCTATTTCAAAAAGATGAAAAAAAAAAAGAGGATGTCTGACAAAATGTGTGACTAGCCTAGGTCCCCTCCAGGGACCTGGGGCTGAGGTCAGGCTGAGGGAAGTCTCTGTGGACATTGGTCTCTGACCCCTTATGACCCTGCCTCCCGGGGAGACCAAAGCAGGGCCTCCACAATTGTTTTGGTGATGTGCTTCTCCTGGACTTTTACAATGGGACCTGTCTAGAAACTGGTCTGTAAGGTTCTCTGCACTCTCCTTCTGGCCTTGAACCTTAGTCTGGGGCACAGGTGTATGTTTTGCTGTGCCCCTTAAAGTCAAGCCCTGGGGACAAGTCTTCACAATCCCCGTCTAGCTCCCTTGGAGGCTGTAACACACTTGAAGGAGCCAGGTGGGTGGATCAGAGGGATCCCTGTGTATACAAAGGCCTGGAGAGCTGTCCAAGGGGCTGTGAGGAAGCAAGACCTTCTTCAGCAGCAGGTCGGAGGGCGTAAGAGTGGGGACAGGGTCCCCCTCCTTCTACTTGTACTCACATCTACCTCATCACCCTGCAGGCCAGATCATGGATGAAGTGATTCAAGAGCATAACCCCTCGCTGGTGCTGGAGCTAGGGGCTTACTGCGGCTACTCAGCAGTGCGTATGGCCCGCCTGCTGTCACCTGGTGCCAGGCTTCTCACCATGGAGAAGAATCCCGACTATGCCGCTATCACCCAGCAGATGCTGAACTTCGCAGGCCTGCAGGACAAGGTAAGGCCCTGTGTCCAGTGTGGCAGCTACAGCTGGGAGAGCTGGGCAGGCAGTGGGGGAGGACGTCACATTCATGCTTGATTCAGTCATTTAGAACCTGCTTTGGTTGGGTCCCTGGAGTCAAGGAAGGAACCCTGGCAGGTCAGGGATACAGTCTCACTGCCCTATCCTACAGAGCTGCCTTAGGAGAGACTGAGCAGAGAGTTCAGGCTCATCTCCCAGAGACCCAGAGAAATCAGGGTATATACATGTGAGTGTCTAGATAGGCTCCTGCATGTTCCTGTGGGCACAACACTGACGGAACACTGTTTCAGGTTACCATCCTTATCGGGGCATCTCAGGATCTCATCCCACAGCTGAAGAAGTATGACGTAGACACACTGGACCTGGTCTTCCTTGATCACTGGAAGGACCGCTACCTGCCAGACACAATTCTCCTGGAGGTGAGCTGAGCCACCTAGCCTTAGCAGGATGCCTCCTGCACTGTTACTGCAGGGACCCCTGGGTCCTCAGCCTCTGAGAGCTCTGCCCAAGGGTGGCCCAGGGGTACAGATTGGCTCAGGGACAGCCTTGGGAGCTGACCTCCAGCTAAGGTGTCACCTGAAGTCTGAGAGTCCAGTGGGCTGTGGAGGTCCTGTGGCAGGTGGAGATGAAAGGGAAGGGTTCTGGGCAGGTGTGGCAGGCCAGGGGCTAGGTGGAGTGACCTGCTTGAGCATGCGTGTCATCTTCCAGCTCTGCAGGCGTATGCTGTTAGGAAGTAGGATAAGCACCAGACAACAGAATGTTTGGGCCTAAAGGGCACGAGGCTGAGCACCTAAGGTAGTGGGACTGAACGCCAGGTGGTCTGACAGCTGCCGGCTGGAGCTGGTCACAGGGAAGGCAGGCATGTCCTGATCTTTCTCCTGACATTTCTAATGTGTGTAACAATTCCACTCTCCCCAGGTCCCTTCTAGCTGTCACCACTGTTGCTCAGCCAGCTTCACCCAGCAAAGACCCCCAGCCATTAACTGGGGTTCCAAACTCCACTCCCAAGTAACTTGAGCTCGGGGGTGCATTAGCTTGTCCTGTCCAGTGGCCATCAAGGGGACATGGAATAGCTCCTTGGCCCTAACTGCATCTTCTCAGCCTTCTAACCCAGTGGCCGGCATGGGACTGTCCATCTGGTGTTGCCCACCCACAGCTGTCTCAGGAGTTAGACACTTGGGTCATGTACAGTAGGGTCTAGAATGTGAACAGCCAAGCCAACAAACCCAGGGGCAGGGCAGGGCAGGACCACTGTGGCTAGGGCATGGTTAGAATAGCTTTGATGTGTTTAAGGGCACAGAATATAATAGAAAAGGAAGAGTCATGCACAGAAGGCTTTGGGTAGATGAGACTGGCATCTAGAAGGATCCTGGTTAGCCTTGTGGAGGCACAGACAGGGTGAACAGGGGAGGGTATTTCAGATCCCCCCCAAAACCATTTTGGAAGTACTAAGCACTGGGGTTAGAGAGACAGGGGCATCTAAGGGCCAGGAAATTGTACCAGAGGACCCATGTTTACCAAGAGGGCAGGCCAACCATGAGAAACTGGCATGGGCAGGGATCAACCCCTGGCAGACATGAACACAAGGTTACATAACAGAGGGCAGACAGCAGGCAGCTGCACAAAACAGATGGTCTCCACCTGAACAGGAGAGCCATCGCACAGTACAGGGAGTGTATGTGATAATTACAAGGGCCTGCTTTTAGAAGAATAGCAAATAATTGCTGTTCAGTAACTAGGAAACTAATAGTTTTCAGTGCTTCTTTAAAGCTGTCAATTACCTCATTGGGAATGGCTGTGCTTTTTTGTTTGATACTGGGAAACTGAAGAGTGTCAAAAGAATCCTGAGCATAGACTAAAACCACCTAACCAATAAGGCTTAGTAGTGCACACCTGTAATCTCAGCTCTTAGAAGGCTGAGGCAGGAGGATCTCTGAGTTTGATGCTAGCCTAGGCCACATAGTGAGACTTCTTATTTTATTATTTTTATGTGTATGAATGTATCGTTTACATGCATGTTAAGTGCACCCGTGTTATGTAATGCCCATGGAAGTCAGAACAGAGTGTAGAAATTCCCTGGAACTGGAATTATAGACAGTTGTCAGCTGCCATGTGGGTGCTGGGACTGGAACCCAGGTCCTCTGCAAAAGCAGTGTTCTTAACTGCTGAGCCATCTCTCCAGCCCCTTGAGACCCTTTTTTTTTTTTTTTTTTTTGGTCTTTTTGAGACAGGGTTTCCCCTGTAGCCCCAGTTGGCCTGGAACTATGTAGACCAGACTGGCCTTGAACTCAGAGACCTGCCTGCCTCTGCCTCCCGAGTGCTAGGATTAAAGGCATAAGCCACCACACCTGGCTTCCCTGAGACCCTTTCTATTTTTTTATTTTTTATTTTTTGGTATTTTTGATACAGGGTCTCCCTGTAGCCCCAGTTGGCCTCAGACTCACAGAGATCTGCCTGCTTCTGCCTCCTGAGTGCTGGAATTAAAGGCATGTACCACTACACCCCTAGAGACCCTTTCTTAAAAAAACAAAACAAAAACACCCCAAACCATCTTACCTATAGTGCTCTATCCACCACCATCTCCTTAGCATAGAACCCTAGCTACTCAGACATTGATAAGACTTTTACCTAGAATTCTCTGGGTGGTCTTTCAGAAGGTTCTGAATACAGGTGCTGTCCTCTCCCCTTCAGGGCTAATGTAAGTGTACCTGTGCATGTAATATCTGTGGAGGCCAGAAGAGGGTGTTGGATCCTCTGGAACTGGAGTTATAGACACTTGTTAGCTGTTACAATGGGTGCTGGAAACCAAACCTGGGTCCTCTGCAAGAACAGTCAGTGCTCTTATCCACTGAGCCATCTCTCCAACCCCTATTTTTATGTTAAAGACAAACCTCCAAGCTTCCTGAGCCACATGCAATGTAAGGTGTCCAGGTGTTCTTTTTCCTGTCTCTGCTCCCCCATAAGACATACCACCTTGCCAGGCGCTTCTGTTATTTATATGACATGAGCACATCCACCTCCCAATGTCCATGGACAAGCATCATATGAAGATGGGACCACCGCTTATGGCATAGTGCCTAGTAATAAGTCCTTCTCAGAGCCTGGGCACCCCAGTGTCTTCCCTGGCGTTAGTCCTAATGGAAATGGGTTTGCTAATGTAGCATCCCTGGCTTTAGTCCTGGTGGAAATGGAGTTTGCTAATGCTGGAGGAAGTCCAGAGCAGACCCTCAATGGCAGGCTGTTGGTGAAGAGCCCATATTCTTTGCTCAAGTGTGTGAGCACTCTGGCTTCTTGGCTCACCATCTTCTCCATGCACCCATCCCCAAACCCTTAACTGTGTACCCACACACTGTTCTAGGGGCTGGAGATCTATATAGGGGAGAATGGATAGTAGAGGAAGTGGCTCCATGGTGGAGCAGCTGCCTGAGGGAGTACTTGGGATTTCAGTGGGTCTGCCAAACATCCCTGACCCTCCATGTCTGTCCCCTGCAGGAATGTGGCCTGTTACGCAAAGGGACGGTGCTCCTAGCTGACAATGTCATCGTCCCAGGAACCCCTGACTTCCTGGCATATGTGAGGGGGAGCAGCAGCTTCGAGTGCACACACTACAGCTCGTACCTGGAGTACATGAAGGTGGTTGATGGCCTGGAGAAGGCAGTCTACAAGGGTCCGAGCAGCCCAAAGCAGCCATGACCACCCAGTCTACCCCAGGCTCCCCAGCCAGCTTCACTCTGCAGGAATACACACACACACACACACACACACACACACACACACACACACACACACACACACACTCATTCATTCATTCATTCATGCTGACCCCTTCTGTGCTTCTGGGGCCTATTGTCGTTCCAGATTGGCACACTCTAAAAAGTAGTGAGCTCACTGCATAAAACCACTGCAAAAAATCTGGAAAATAACTGTGGTAAAAGGCTAAATTGACAGGTTAGAGGTATCTCTCAGTGCTAGAGTATCTGCCTTGCTTGCATGAGGCCCTGGGTTCAATCCCCAGGACCAAAGAACAAAAGGAAAAGAAAAAAATTAATTTGAGGCAGGTGTCATCCTGATGGGGTCACTAACTAGAAAAAGAAATTCTCATAAGGTTTCTGAAGGCAGGCCCATAGGCACTGGCATCACCGGTTAGGCTCAACACGAGGTCAGGAAGTTCAAAATATCTAGAAACTACTGGCTGCCCTCAATGTTTGCTGTCAGCAGGTCGGAGCAATGCCTCAGTGACAATGCCGCCACCAGCAGCTCACACCACACTTCTGAATCACAGTTTCATCTTTTTAAGAATGTATCATAACTTCTTTTCCAAAATTGCCTAGCTATAATAATCTTATATACGAAATTCATGTTTAAAAGATATAAAAGAGAAATTAAAGCTCTAAATATTTGGATACAAGAGAACCAGTGAGTAGTGTCCGTAACTACCACACTGCTAAACAAGTTTCTCTAGATGAGACATCAATATCACAAGCTGGGAGCTCCCAGTGACATACAACAGTAAGTAGTGGAGAAGCTAGTTCTACTCAGCACTGCTCCTGACCAGGCCAGGGACACCTGTCAGCCTGACCGAAGACAGAACAGGACGTCAGCCAGCCTTTGCACGCATCTTTGACTAAGCAGAAAGGTGCTAGGGAAAGGTGGACATGGGTCCCTGGCAGTCCCTGCTGCTCTGGACCCCACACGTGGCACTGAGCAGCAGTCCTCCCTATCCTACTTCCTGACTTATAGAGGAAGTAGGCTCAGAGCATCAGGGCATGTCTGCTGGCCACCCAACTGGTAAAGAAGCAGAGCTGGCTTGTGTCAACCTAAATCTAGAGTTGCTCTAGTCCCCACCTTGGCTCATCTTGACTGATCACACTTGTGCCCAGGTCAGCCTCCGCTAGCATTCCACTCCTATGTTCCAGGCCCACCAACCCAAACCTGTTTGAGTGTAGAGCATGCCAACAGGAGCAGAGCCCCCTGCTGGCCATGGCAGAAGGGACACCTGCAAACTACTGGGCATCTCACTCCAGCTGTCTGTGTTGTCACCAGATGGCAGCAATGGCTCAGTGACAGTACCATGAGGTACAGTACCATGAGGACCATGCCCCACCCAGGAGACCATGTGTGGCCTTCCACTCTGCAGCTGCAGTCAGGAGGCAGCAGCTCCCAGTAAGAATCTCAGCCATGGAAGACAGGCAGTTCCTTTCCTGCTTTTTTAATCTTTAAATTTTCTTACAAAAATTTCAGTATTTACCAATAGTCTTATTTTGGTTTCATTTTTAATGCTTTTTGTCAGTGGTTTTCTTCGTTTTAAGTCACAAACAGCAGGCACTGAAGAGCTGCTGGCGGTCAGTCCCCGAGGTTACTTGAGGTTCTAGGCAGATGCAGATGCAACAGCCAGGGTAGCCCCAGCCATAGGCAGCTTAGGAAACGTATGCTGCAGGAGGAATGGGGTTCCACACATCCAAAGACTCCAAGGGAAGGGTTTGGGGGCAAGTATAGCCCGACACCTCCCCTCCCCCAGCTGGCTGCCTCCCAAGCCTCTCTGCCTGGACTGTCTTTTGGACCACCTTACCATGGTGGTCTGCCTGCATGCAGGGTAGTACTCCAGCCACCCATGGGAGCCCAATTTCTTTCCCAAGTCCCCCTCCTTGCCCTGCTGCTGGTCCCCAGGCCTGCACTTGCTCCTTGGTTGCACTGCACTGTGCCTGGGACCCACCCTGCTACCTCCCTGAACCCCACCCCAGGCCTTCTCTCATATCACACAGCACCATGTCAGTTAACAGCTAACTCAGGCCTGGGGAGTTAGATCAGGAGAATGGAGGAAAGGAGGGTAGGGTAGAACAGGAGGGGTATTCCATAAAGCCAGGCCCAGGCTTGGGACAAGAGGCTTGACCAGTGCACCACAGAGGCTCCTTGGCAGGGTTGGGTTTGGTCAAGATGGCCCTTCTTCCTCTGGCTATTTTGATGTGATCCCTAGGAACAAACAGCTGGGCCAGGGCCCTGTGGAGGATGAGGGAGATGCTACAGTCAGGTACTCAGGCACCCAGGCAAGACAGCAGGGCCAGTTGAATGGGCAAGGTGACTTGGAGCCTCCACATAGAGTAGTTGCCTCCATTAGGCCACATGAGTACAAATGGGGACAGACACAGTTGGTTGTGGGTCGAAGGGGGGGGCATGCCAAGGATCTTGTTGACAGGGCCAGTCCTGTCTTGCTGGTCCCTCATGGGACTCTGTGTTGGGAGTATCTGAGGGGATAGGGAGTCTGTCTCCTCAAGACACCGATCTCCATGCGTGACAGGGCTGTGGGCCCTGGGAGGACCCTCCTTTCAGCTTATAGTATAGCTGGGTCCTGCCAGTGATCACACAGGGAGAGCAAACATGCAGCCAGCAGAGACAAACAAGAAGCCCCAGCCCGGAGGATGGGAAAACCACCAACCAGATGAAGGAACATACCAGGCATGCAAGCTAGACCCAGGAGTCAACAGGCTGAGGCTTAGCGTCCCCCACGGCATCCACCAGCCTGACTGCAGGCCTGCTGGGCCCAGGTAGAGGGGCCTTCCTGCCAGGCTCGGGCTGCAGCACATGGATGGGTGGGCAGACAGAATGGGTTAGAGGCAGAACAAAGCAGGTTAATTATAGTTAAGGGCAGACTGGGCTACTCTGTGGGAACAAGGACAGGGTGACATGAAGGTGGGCCTGCCAAGGCAGTACAGAGGAATTGAGCTGGTGTGGCTCATACTAGTGGGTAGCACATGGACATACAAAGAGGTGGTACATGAAGCCAGGAGACTGGCACAGAGCAGGTGGCAGGTGCTGCCCTTACCAGGGGACCACTGTGGGCACCTTGCCCCCATACACATATATAGAAGGGTACAGATGCATGTTCTCAGACTCTCTGGTCCTATGCAGTGTGTGGATGGGCAGAGCTGCTCCCTTCTAGTAGGTGTGTCCTCTGAACCCCTAGTAACCCACATTCTGATTGATGTATAGGCTGCTTTCTGGGTTGGATCCCACAGCATAATTGTCATGCAGATGAATTCCATTCTAGCCATGTCCCAGGGTCCTGATCCAGCTCAGCACTGCCTGACTGCTCTCTTGGCAAGCCCAAAACATGAAGCCTCCCTGGGCACCTGTCCACGGTCACTTACTTTCAACAGTTCCTTCTCAGAGACCTCCCCTATGGAATCACTGCCCAGGGCCCTCCGCTCCCTCCGTTCTACAGTGGCATATCCATCTGTGGAGTGGGGCAGAGTAAGGAGTGAGAAGCTCTAAGGGGGGCACCATGGGAACATGTCATTTTCCTCCAGCCCAGACACAGGGAACTCTGGGAGAAGGGGACTTTTGCAGAGGGTCCCCACTTGCCCTATCCTAGAGGTTGCTTTTAGTACCAGCGCCAACCAGCCCTGCCTGAGTACCCCAAACTACACTTCTTTTCTCCAACTGACATCATAGGAAGGCCTTCCCAGCACCAACCAGACTTATACCATGAAACCAGCATGTCCACCTCACTTGCCTTAGGTCCTCCCTCCTCCTCAAGCAGGAAACAGTTTCTGTGCCTGTCCTTACCTGGGCCAAGTGTATCCATGGGGATCATATCCCGGCTGGCTGGCTTCTCCCCATCTGTAAGTCATAAGAGTAGTGGTTGTGAGCAGTAGGAAGACAGCAGGAGGGAAGGGCAGACAAGTCAGCCATAGGACTGTCCTCAGTGACCCTAGGTGCTTTCTAACACTTAGTACTTCTCTTCCCAGCCTCTGCCTGCTAGCACTCCACCCCAGCTTGGGGTGCAGACACCATGGAAAAGGAGTTCCCTGGGTGCTGAGCCTGTGTTCCTAACCCCCACCCATCTTGTGCATCAGCCAGATGGGAAGCATTCATGTCACCCTCCCCACTGTGTGCTCACCAAGGTTCTTGTCTACCAGTGGCAGTGTGCTGTCATCAAAGCCCCCAGGACTCAGTGCTCCTCTGGGTCCTTTGGCAGTGGTGGCAGACTAAGGAGCACAAAGCACAAATAAGAGGTAAGACTGGAGGCACTCCTGCTTGGAGATGGACCTGGCAAAATGGGAAAGAAGGTGGGGCAGGTGCACCTGGAAGCGAGCTTTGGTCCAGCCATCCCTCTGTAGGGCACCACGCAGCTCCTTGTAGCTCCACACAGTCTGTAGCACGTGGGATGCTGCCTTGGCCTCCCGAACTGACTGACTGCGGCAAGAGCAGCCAGGAGTGGGGTCAGCAGCTTGTTCCACCCTCCATCCCCAGACCCACCCATCCCTCAGCAGACTCCACCCTCACCCACCTGGAGGCCACAAGCGCCACCAGTGCGGGCACACCTCGGGCCTGCAGAAGCGAGCGTGCATTGTCTAGGCTGTCGGACACAATCTCATGGATGGTGTTGAGCACAGCTACCACTGTGTCTTCCTCCAAGCGGACACCAGGGCGAGCAGGTGCCTGTGCATTGCGAACATTCCTCACCAGCTCTGCTATGGCATAGCTCCCTGAGAGGCAGGGTCAGGTGTTAGGACACACCTCTGCCCTACCCCTGTGGGAAGGAGCAGGGCTCAGGCAAAGGAGATGTTGTACCTCACCACCAGGAGAGGTACAACATCCCTGCCAGTAGGGTGAGCCTCTGGGACTGGGTTAAAGAAGACCCAAGCTCCTACAGCTAGGTCCAGCCCAGCCCCATGGATAGGGCCTGGATCCCTGAACTCCATCCTTCAACCACCTGCCCTTGATACCTGCCAGCCTTCACTAGTCCTGGTTTGGCCTCATCAGCATTCTCACCAATGAGATCTTTGTTGCGCTGGTCTAATGAGAGGTTGCGCAACGCGATGGCAACAGCACGCACAACCTTGTCGGTCTCAGACTGCAGCAGTTCCACTAGCACCGGCAGTCCACGCTCCTTGCGCACTGTGGCACGGATGTAGGTGGCCCACTGCAGGGGTGGAGCAGGAGGGGACTGCTCAGAAGGAAGTCACCCTACAAAATACCCCAACAGCTCCACACTAACCACACTGGCCAGGGTGCAATGCTTGGAGCCCATGCATCAGGAAATATCCTGACCTCAAGAAGTACTGTGTCCCTTCTTCTTCCCCAGAGCCCAGACAGGGGCAAGGGCTCAAGGCAGCACCAGTGGGGTGTCTGGAATCCCCTCTGTCCAGGTCTCACCCTCCCTACCGACCTGACTCCTCACCGTCCAATTCCCAGCGCTGAGGTTTTGCAGGGCACCAGCTGCAGCCTCCAGGGTGTTGAAGTTCCGGCTCTCCGTGAGAAGTGAGAGGTAGAGACGTACCACCTCAGGCTGGTACAGCAGCTCAAAGCCTAGATACAAACATAGAACAGTCAAGCAATGCTCATTATCAGTGAAATGTTTACATTCACAGAGAGATAAACAGGTTTAGTCAGGAGGCAAAGGGTCTAGGTAAGGTCATTCCTCAGCACTGCTGCCAAAGAAATGGGACTAGCCCCATCTGAGAGTTTGAGCATTCAAAAAGCCTGGAGGGGGAAATGGCTACTGAGTCACTTCGCTGGCAACAGAACTCATGTTCCCTGAGTAATGCACCCAGGGCAGTACCCCTAGCAAAGGGTTGTATGTCCCCGTCGTCCTTCACACCCTCCCCCAACAGGGACCACTTTTGTCAGTAAGTAATGGAGACTGTGTAGCCAGGGCCCTACACTTAGAAATAGGTAGGCTCTGCATCCCCAGGCAACCACTCCAGTGACTGCAGTCCCAACCTGACAGCAAGACTGTCCCAGGATGGTGCCCAGCAGAAGGCTTCAAAGATAAGGGCTAAAGCACCTGCCAAGCCTGCCTATCCTACTGTTGGGGCTAGCTCAGGACATTACTCTCCCACCCCATATTTTATCACCCTTCCACTGCCCTCATGCCCATTCTCCCTCTGCTCTAGCCTGCTGAGCCTCCTGCTTCCCAAATTCTTCAAACATATTCTCCTCTCAGGGCATCTGCACAGGCTGGCTACTGTGCCTAGAACCTTCCACAAACCTTCCACAGCTGGGCTCTTCTACCCCACTTGGGGGTATCTAAGTTCTTCTGATTTGCAGAGCCTGGTTTCCAGTGCACAGGACTGTAAGTGCATATTGGAAATCCACCAGACACGAGACAGTAAGGGTGACCTGCCTTGGCCTGCATGAGTTCATGGATTTGGTCATTCTCATACCTGGCCCTCTGGTTCATGTCCTCTACAAATGACACTGCAAGGTATGCCAGTGTCCCTTCAACCCACCTCTCACTTGCAAGAGCCTGTCTGAAACAACCTGCAGCATCCTGACTCAGAACCTTCCTCCGGGTAACCCCACACTGATGGGCCTACTCAACGACACAAAGTTTTGTCACCTGGCCAGTATAAGGCTCAGAATGCCCAGCTTCGCCCTTCTATCCACTGACCTTTGGCAGCCTCTGTTCGTTTGGGCAAGTCCAGTGTATCAAAGTTCCGATCCATCTCTCCATCCTTTTTCCCTGGAACAGAAGTGTGATGGGAGTTGACAGGGAAAGTATATGCCAAGAGGGTTCTGTACAGTTCTTTCCTGCTCAGAAGCCAAAGGGTACCCCTTTGTCTAGGCCTGGGCGCCAAGATGCCGTAGGAAAGATTTACCATTTTCAGAGCGCAGGGCGGCATGCTGGCTCAGTGGTAGCAGTGGAGTCTAGGAACATCCTAGCCATGTCCTGAGCATCTAGGCCTCACCTCCCATCAAGTGCTGGGAGCTGGACCACAGACCCTTTCCATGGCTGCCTTGAAGCAGCCAGGTGTGTGAACACAGGCACCAGGAGCCCAATCTAAGTGGCAGAGAGACAGCTGACAAACAGGATTTGTAGAGTTTCATAGTGCCACAGGGCTGGGAGTAAGCTTTAGCTAAGGGGAAAATCTATCCCCTACTGGCAGGAGAACCCCCACATCTAGGCTTAGCCCCTATAGGAGCAAATTTGTAGCTACTGCCCCTTCTCCCTCACCTGAGGGAGTTGTGGAAGGCAGCAACCCAGGGCAGTGCCCCTGCCCTGCTCATCCTCACAGTACTTCTATGCCATACATCACCCATTCCATCCTAGTCCTCTGGGGCTTGCCATTCCCTGGGCTCTGCCTACTGTTTGCTCTGCCCCAGCCCTAGCTAGCTAGTTGGGTCTAACTTTACAGGCAGCAGCCCCTTGGGCCTCCCCACCAGCCCAGGGCTCACATTCCTGCCTTTGTCGTGTCCACACAGTTGTCATGGAGATGGCTGCCCTTCCAAGAGACTGGGGGGTGGGGCAGGGCCTGGAGGCTGGAAGGCATCCCAGCTGCCCTGCAGTTGTCATGGAAATAACTGCCTGAGCCTAGGAAACATACTTGTCTCTCTGGTGCCCACTGCACCTGCCAAACCTGGACAGCAGGACAAACAGGGACTCACCTTGATGGAACCACTCCTCTGGGCGGCCGGAGGAAGCACAGGAGAGAGGAGATGAGCCTGAGCAGAAGCACCCTCCCATACCTAATACTCCCACGTGCACCAGCTCAAGGAAGCAGATGTGTAACTTTACCCATGACTCTGGGGGCTCAGTGCCCATAATGGAACAGGGAAGGCCTGTGGTCAGGGGCAAGTAAAGCCAATGCACCTTTCCCACTGCAGCTGCTCAAGGATGCAAGCGTGTGGAACCAGTACGCTGTAGGTGCTGAGGGTACCTGTGTGCACTGGGGGCCTGGCTAAGTGAAGAGGATTTACTCGCAGGCTGTTGCATGAATGGCCAGGTAGTTATTTGTGGGCCTTCAAAATCATTCCCCAGAGTAGAGAGACAAGGATGGACGCCACCCCATGGCCACTGCCCAAGGGGACTCATAGGAAAGGGATAAGGCTGGACTTTGGGTCTACACCCTTCCCAACTCACTGACTGCCCATGAGGGCTGACTAGATGTCCTCTGGTCTCCAGGATCACCTGCCATATATGGAGTCTTGAGCCCTGGGAGCAGTGGTAAAGAGAAGTGTCCTAGTCTCACCCACCCACCTTTGGCTTTCTTGCCACCAAAGCAGCTGGCGTCATCCTTCCTCCGGCGCTGGGAGCCGGCAGTACTGCCCGGGGTCCCAGGCTCAGCCTCCTGGTACCTGTCAGCCCCTGGAACCTCCTTGTGCACGTGGTAGGACAGGTTCCTCATGATGCACACACAGTTCTCCACTGACTGTGGGGAAAGGTGACCTGGTTGGGCAGGGACACAGGACGTGGGGACTGCTGACCTTCCCAGGCCCTATGCATGGAGACATGGCCAATGAACACCAGGGGCACTGTCAAGGTCCAATAGGAAGAGGATCATGGGAGCATTTGCCACATAAAGGACCATATCCCCTTCCCTGTGTAGGCACTATCCATTCCCTTCTGTACCATTCTATATGGCTCCCAGTCCTTGAATCCCATTCCTGTGTCTTTCAGGCTCTCAGAACCTAGAGGGAAGCTGCTTCCTATCTGCCCTGCCCACCTTATTGTCTGTGTCCTTCCTGCCCACTGCTGACTGCAGGGCATGCAGGAGTGCATCCACCAGGCCTTCACACTCACGGAGTCGTCGTCGGGCCTCTGCACCATCTGAGCTCACATTCCTGGGTAGAAGGAGGGGGGGGCCCAGTGACCCCCTGTCCTGCCCCATTTGAACTCCCCAGCCCACTCAGCCTCAGTGGTTTTCATGTGCACAATGGGTCCTGCTGAAGCACAATGAAGGTGGAGCAGGGTGGCCTGACTGCACCTGTTATGCACCTTAGCTCTGAACCTGTGAGCAAGAAATCAGGTTCACTGACTCCTAGCTGGACTAGAATGGGACAGAGATGGGCCCCAAGAAACTGGAATTCATGATGTACAGGTAATTCTGCCCTCTCATCCCAAAAGCAGTTTTCTGTGCCCCAGTTTCCTTAAGGTCAGGACCCCACGGGACCATGATGGTTCAAACTAAAAAGTAAACAAAGTCATGGGGACCTAGGACTCCATCTGTGGGGTCTCTACAGGGCTACTCTGGGGCCACAAGGTAGAGGAACTAGCCCTTGAGGCACACTGCTCTTCCTCCCTGTCATGGTAACAATAGAGGGCAGGGCTGCAGCAGTGGGCACTGCAGGAAGGATGGGCCACCTTATCCAGAAGTGGGTGTGAAGACAGCTCCACTGGTCATCCCAGGGAATTATGATGTGGCTCAGAAGCTCCTAAGATTTAGATGGCTTATGGACTGGGACATGGACATAGCAGCTCCTGCCTCCCCGCAGGTATGGCCTATGCCCCATCCCTGCCCACACCTCAGGCAGCCTGATGTGTTCTTGAAGACGGTCGTCCACTCAGCATCCCGGGGCTTGGAGTCTTCATTGGGCTCTCGCTCCCAGCCCGAGTGGGGTACAATGACCTCATGGGTCAGCGTCTGCAAGCCATGGTCAATGATGACCATCTTCAGGGGCTCATAGGATGACAGGTTCCAGAGTGTGCCTGCAAGGCGCCACTGGTCAATACTGTTGACCATGGCCCTACTGTTCCGTCCTCCCCAGGGACAACTCTCACAACCTGCCTCTCTCCTTGATCCCCCAAACGGCAGGGGAAATTAGTTATTGGGTTTTTTTGGTTGTCCCAGGGATGGAACCCAGGGTGCTAGGTAAGAACTACCAAAGAGTGACACCCAGTTCACACAGGAAATTAAGAACAGTAAAAGCCCCATAAAGCCTGGGCAGTATGTGCTGACAGCACACAGTGGTGGCCTCCAGATGAGCGGACAAGACAGGGTACAAGAGAGGCATGACCAGTAACAGCTTACCCCAGCATTCCCTGCTACACAGGTGGGTGGACAGACAAATGCCCGAGGCCACAGGGCCACGGACAAAAAATTCTATGATCACCACGCTCTCCAAGACACAAGCCCTACCCCTACACCGATACAGGTTAGGAACCAGAGAAGATGGGGCCTAGTGCCAGTACCCCTATGGTAGAGAGACTTGGGGTCCCATCCCAGCACCTGGGCCTGCTGTACCCCCATTCTCCCACTCACGGGCTGAGCCACACTCTCATCAGCTGTGGCCAGGGCCCACTCACCAGTGACCAGCTCACGGACCTCATTGTCACGAGCAGCCCGCAGCAGGCGCACTAGAGCAGGCACACCACCACAGTCTCGGATGGCAGCCTTGTTGTCAGCATCCCGGCCATAGGAGAGGTTGCGCAATGCCCCACAGGCCCGGCGTCGTACCTCAGCCCGAGGATGATCTAGTAATGCCACAAGCAGGGGCAGCCCACGAAGCTGCCGCACTCGCCTCTTGACGCCCTCATTCTCAAAGCATAGATGCTGCAGGTAGGCAGCTGCATTGGCTTTCACAGGGTCCACAGGGTGCCGCAGCATGGCTAACACCTCTGGCAGCTCGGGGTCCCGCCAGCGTGGCTCCTTTCGAGTGCTGTCCACAGATGGCGAGCGTCGCACAACCCGGTCCAAGCTGCCCAGGCTGCCCCTCTCAGGCTGGGCCAGAGGAGCTGTTGCTGCAGGGAATGGAGTTCGCTCGTCTATCAGCTCACCAGCATCATCTGCTGTGTCCTCGTAGGCCCTGTGCAGGCAAACAAGGCCTGTAAACACTGTCACGGCAGCTGCCAGCCCTGCTCTCCAAGGTGCCCACCACATCCTGTCTAGGGGATTGGGAATTCCCTGAGCAAGGGGGACTGAGAGTATCTACATCTCATCTCAAACCCAAGCACAGAATGGGCACCAAGAGTCCTACCCCATAGCCAGGGCCAATGCAGAGCCATGGATAGAGCCAAATCCAGCCAAAGAGCTTGCAACCCTTCCAGGTCAGGAAGCTCACTCCTGTCACCAAGACAGTATTTCATAATCCTGACTTAATATGTTTTGATGCAACATCTATCAGTGACAAGGCAGGAGTATCCCACCTCCCTTCTCTAAGACCAGGATGTGACTGGTGGGAAACCCTTCCTGCACATAGCCACTACAGTCAGACCATCTGAGGAGGACATGTCTTTAGCTCTCAGTCGTCCTATGGTCACTCAAGCCTCCTTCCCAGGGAAGGGACTGAGGCTAGGAGGGTCAGGTAACTTGCCCAGAGTTACACAGCAAAATCCAGACTCAGGTTGTGGTCATGTTTCCATGCTACAGATACAGAGACAGAGGGCACATGGGGCAGGACCAAGAGCCATGACAAGAAAGACAGCCTCTGGGTTTCAGCTCTGGGTACATGGTGGAGACTAAGGCATAGGAAGAATCAGGATCCATATACCCAGAGTCACACCTTAAGCCTCAGATGTCCAAGTCTTCATGGACAGCTGGCTATTAGAACAAAGCCAGCTTCAGGCACTATCACCAGCTTAACTTCTACCATCCCAGGCCTGTTTTTGCCTCTATCCTTGAGAAGAGATGAGGCTAATTCAAAATGAAATATGCATGACTACCTCAGGAGCATGACCACTTGTGTGGTACTCTGAAGCTGGGGAGTGGAAGACAGAATTCCCAGAGGAGGCAGCCACCAGCAACAGGTGCTCACCTGGCACGAAGACCTCGTCCACACTCAGGTCTCCTCCGTGTGGCTGTGCCATAGTCAGGCTCCAGATCAGGGCCACCCTCATCATCAGGAGCCAGGCTTCGTGTATCATCCTCCAGGCCATAGGGCTCAGCCTGAAAGCGCTCTGGCAGGGAGCGGCCACTTGGAGGTCCAGGCTCAGAGCCCGTGGGGAAGGCTTCCCGGCGGCCAGGCAGTGTGAAGCAGCCATCACCAGACCCTGGGCCCAGAGGACCAGTGCGTGGGGGCCGCACCCCAAGCCCTCGGGACAAGCTGCCATAGCTTGGGACATCACGAGGTTCAGGACCATCTGGAAAGCTGCCTCCACTGCTGAGGTAAGCTCGGGAGAGTGTGGCTGCTGGGCCACCACCACGCAGCAGAAAATGCCGGTCATCAGCAAAAGGGCCAAGTGGGGGGCCACCATCCAGCAAGGGGAGTCCATCTGGGCCCAAAGGCACCTGGCGTACTGTCCTTGTGGTCACTGTTTTGACTGTCTTGGTGACCTGGTGGCAGGAAGATGGCAGGTAAGCTAGGCAGCTCCAGAGACTTGGAATGTGCCCCAACAAAGTCAGGATGGCCGTAAAAAGCATGTGAGCTGGCCTCAAATAATGAGTGGCTCATAAGGGGTCAGCTCATATGCTTGTTCCACAGAGGGGCAGCCAGGGCTGCCCAAGCTGCTTTCCTGTCTGGGCCCAGTCATACCTTAGTCTCCGTGCGCCGGGTTGTACCATCTTCAGATGTGACAATGGACACATGGGAAGTGGGCGTGCCAGGGTCTTCCTCCACTGTCACTGTCTCCTCCAGCACCTCAGGTGCCTCTGGCATCGTGGCCAGCGATGCCTGGCTGCCTGGGCTCTGTTCCTGGAGGGAAGGGAATGGTGCCAGAAGGCTTCTGACTAACCAGGCACCAGAGGTTATCAGTTCCACATTTTGGGGTCTGCTCCGGCCCAAGAAGAACCAAGTAGCCCCTCCAGGATGTCCTTCTGATATCACCTGCCTCTCCTAATTTGCCTTCAAGATGTCCTGGTCCTTCTCCCTGCTAGATTCCCAAAACCCTGAATATCCAATTCTTAGAGTCACAGTTTCAGGATGGTTTTCTGATTTCTGTGCCCTTGCCAGAATGCTGTATCAAGATCAGTTGGCCGAGGAGCCCTCACAGGCCAGGGCTGCCATCTTCCCAGAATGCATGCAATGAGTACCCAAAGTGCTGAGGTATCCCTGCTCCTTCTAGGCCCAGGCACTCTTTTTTTTTTTAAAGACAGGGTCTCCTTGTAGCTCTAGCTGTCCTGGAACTCACTAGATAGACCAGGCTGACCTCAAACTCAGAGATCCACCTGTCTCTGCCTCTCAAGAGCTGGGCCCAATTAAAGGCATGCGCCACCATGCCTGGCTAGGCCCAGACACTCTTGGGCCATGGAGACAGAGGCTCTGCATCACATCAGAGACAATATACATGTATTCCTACTTGAAGCCACCTTGCCAAAACCCTGAAGAGAGGGATGATGGTTGAATTCTAGGCAAGAGAGCTATGGGCTGAGGCCCACAAGCCTATTGGCCAGACATGCCAGTATAGAAACTGAGGCTCCAAGAAACCAGGCTGTGCAGAGTGGCGTGTGGACCTGACAGCCAAAGTCTACCCCTGGGCCTCTGCCCACACACTTCTCCAGACCTAGGGCCTCACCCTTCAATATCCCGGGGTTGGCATTTGGCCTGGGCAGGCACTGAAGTTCAAGCTACGATACAGTGAGATGACAGCACATTCCTGGGCAGCCAAAGTCATGCCCACCACCTAACTAGAGAGTAAGGGGTTCTTTAGGGCCCGGGCCCCTAAGGACTACAGACATGCTGAGGCCTAGGGAGGGCTAGCAGCTCACACTGCATCTCCCCAGCTCCAGAGCCATACTGTCTTTCCCTGGCCTGGGAACTGCATTAGGCAAGAGGCCAGGCTGCCTTCATGACCTGCCTCCTGTGGAGCTCACTGGGACAGCAAGCTTTCTCAGGCCAGACCTTGTCCTCCGGGGGAACACTTGACTCCTAAGGGAGACAGTGTATGAGTCTGGGTGGAGCCTATGCCAACATGCTAGGACATTTCCCAGGCTCTGATGACAAAGGAAAGTGGAGGCACAGAATGTACCTCGCCCTCCCTCAGGAGCAGGGCCTTGGAGGACAAGAAGTGACTTTCTGAATGGGGAAACTGAGTCTTGGCAGAGGGGAGGGGGTTTGCCTAGTGCTTCACAAATCCTGGCAGAGGGACTTCAGACACCTGTCTGACAAAGAAGCCTTTGAGCTTTGCCTCACCTCTAGGGGACAGGGCCTTGGCAGCCACTTTCCTTACCTTAGGATGGTTTGGACTATCTGCTGGGACCTGACCAGGCAGAGGAGACCCTGCTCCCTGGGAGTGTGGAGACAACTGGAAAGCTGCCAGGCAGGGTGGCCTGGGCTCTTCTCCAAGGGCACTGGGGAGCTGGGGTGGCTCTGGAACAGGAATAGGCATATGGCAATCTGTCTAAGGTCTGGGCTATCTTGCTTGCATTTGGTAACTGAGTGCTGGGCCCTGGGGAGCTAGTCAGAGCTGGGGGGAGGGGTGGGGCAGGCACTCAGGGCCTGCATTCCTGGATATGGGGGAGGGGGAATAAGCAAGGCTGAGGGGACACACTGCTTAGGACATTCTGTCAGGAGACAGAGTCCCTTTGTAGATTTGCATATATCTGCATATATTAAATATTCAGAGAAGAACCCCTTACTCTCTAGTTAAGTGGTAGGGCAAAGGAGGAGAGAGGACAGTGTGGCACCTCAGTGGTCTGCTGCTCAGACACCCAAGTGGTGCAGAAGGTGTGACACACTGCATCTGGGGTAGTCTAGGAGAATCAGGGTTTTTAGCAAGGGCTAGCAGCCCTGCAGCAATTACCCACTAACATGTGGGCCAAGGGATCCCAAGGTTCCAAGAGTCCCTGCTGGCAAATGACCTCAGGGAGCTAAAAGCAGGCAATGACCTCACCCAGGCAGGCAGGAGCGTGAGTCAGACATGCTCCTGAGAAAGCCTGGCCTAATACACATGCCTGGGTACACACAGAGGCAGGATCTGGACCAATACAAACATGTGTCCCTTATCTCACAGACATGAACATGTGTACAACATTAGTACACAAGTACCCAACCAGGCACACACAGGCACAAGCACAGTGATTTGTGTGGTCTCTGACAGTACCCTGTCACTGTATCTCCCACCCACCTGTCTGGACCTTTATTGGAGCTGGCCCTCAGATTCGCTTCCAACACATGGGGAAGGAGTCATTGACACCCAAGTCACCCACTCAACCATCCACTATTGGGTTTTCAGTGCTAATGGAAATACGGAAACTGAACAAAGCTCAAAGCCATCCTGTGATTCCACCTCTGTAACTTCCTCAGGGTGGGTCTGGGATAGGGCATGATGAAAACACAGTGAACAGTCAACAGAGGGATTTGGGGAAGTGTCTGCATATTCTAGCCTCCATGTCCCTCATCTACCGGCCAGTCCATTCCCAGGGACCTCTGGCCTTGTAGTCCCACAGCTGACTCTGGGCAGTTCCCCTCTGTACCACAGACCTGGGCACCCTTCTGGCTACATCACCTAAGCCCTCTGTAACACACTATGTATCAACTATGTATTATCACCAGCTTCCTGGCTCCAACTTCATTCTTTCTTCTAAAGCAGAGACCATGTCCAACCTCCCACCATCTATCTACAGGGCCCAAATCCATCCTCCAGTCTATGGGGCTACCGGGCCTGGACAGGTGAGGAGTTGCTGCCCAGGGCTTGCCAGAGCTCTCTCCAGCTGTGGAAGAAAGCGCACAGCCACAATGTTCCCCTAAAGGGGCCCCATGGGCACACTGCTGAGCATATAAAACTGTGAAGGTTCAGCTTCTTCACCCAGAGAGGGGAAGGATACAGGGGCCTATCCCACCTATGTGCCCAGTGCAAGGACTGTGTGGAAAAAAGCAAGATGTGAACCTGGCTCATGCACTTTACAGATAAGCATCCATAGGCTGTATCATGCAAAACAGATCATAAACCTGGGAGCCCCACCCTGTGCAAGGCCTGCTGGCATATATTGAATACAGGGTGAGGTGAGATGCATACCTGGATGGAGCCCACACCTCCAGGGCCAAGACCTCAGAGGATACGAGATGGCTACCACTGGAGGGATGAGGGAATGGAGGGGTGGAGTTCTGAACCCCAGCATGGCCCTCCTAGGCAGAGTGCAGAACAAGTCAAACTGGCATCTCCGACCAGGCAGCAAACCCTTATCCACCAAAAAATACCTCCTTCATACCACAGCCTACAGGAGTACTGAACCTGCCAGGGCGTGGCCCAGGCACGCAGAGTAGGCTGAAAGGCTAAGGGGCATGTGGTCCCTGAGCAAGCAACGGAATGGAGGCAAGCTGTCACTCCTAGCTTCCTTTAAGCCCAGCCCCCAGCCACACTATGACCGTATGTCCACCACCGACCTCTCCATCTCTGGGCAGTCTATGGCCAGGCTCAGGGCCACATCAGGTATGACAGACCTCCTCCACACAGCCACACTTTATTATTGAACCCCGCCCCCTAAGCAGAGTACAGACTGCCCACCTGCCCCCCACCAGTACTGAGAGGCCTTCAATAGGGCTGGCCCGCAGACCCCTCCCGCTAGCACACGTGGGCAGTACCGGCCTCCGCTCCTCCCTTTTCCTCCCCTCACGTGCAAAGCCTCGGAAGAGAGCGTTCCCATTAAGCCTTCAGAAGCTGCTCCGCAGGTCCCCAGAGTAGACGCGGAGCCGCGAGGGGATGTGGAGGGGTGGGGAAGGAGCCCCCCAAGGAGCAAAAGGCCTAGGCCAGCTTCCCTCTGCAGACCCGGCCTCCCTCTGTATCGGGAGGGGCTGCCGCGGAAAGCCCTGTGCCCCGCCGGGGCCCGCCACCACCTGTCCTGGGTGATGGTGCACCCTTCCCGGTTCATGCGCGGTCTCAATGCAGGGTCGCCATCCCGATGCCAGGGCCGGGCTCCAGAGACCCCGCGATCTGCCTTGCACACACCCCCTCCGGCAGCAGCGCGCTCTCGCCACCGCGCTTGGCTGTGGGGTCCCGCACAGCCCAGCGGGAGCTCAGACAATAGCTGCCTTCGGCCGGCGGCTAGTCGAAACAATAGCGGGTCTTCCCGGGAAGGCCAGTGCCCCGCCCTCCACCTCCGGCCCAGGACAGCGCATCTCCCTCCCGCCCAATCACCGAGTTCCCTCCAACCTTCCAACCTGTCTGAGTTCGGCCGGCATCGGACCGGACCGAGACTGGAGGGTGCGGGCCGCGGGGGCAGCTGCGGCTGGACCGCGCTTCGCTCCGGCGCCTTGGCCGCTCGGGCTCCGCGGACTCGCTCCCCGCGGGGGCGGATCTGGCGGCGGTCACGGTGAGCAGCCAATCGGGCGGGGCCGCGCCCAGGCGGGGCGGGGCGGGGACCGCTGGGGTGGGGCAAGGTTCCGCCCCCCACAGGCAGGGGCGGGACTCTACAGCTTGGCCTGCTGACCATCCCCGGTCCTGATCTGGGCAACCTAGCACCCCAGCTCCAGGGATGTTATCTTCCCCGCCGAGACTTTGGCAAAGTCTTCCTTCCGAGATCTCAATCTGAAACCCAGTAAGTATGCATATGCCCTTCCACCTGTACAGCTGCAGAAACTTGAGTCCCCACAAGGCAGAGGCCAGCAGTGTAAACGGGCAAGGTTACCCTCATGGTACAATGGTACAAGCTGCTTATCCTGGCTGCGATTACTTTCCTCTTGAGACAGTAGTTGTGGTACTGTCAAGCTGCAAGGCCTCAGTGGGCAAAAGGCCAACTTTGGAGTGGCTCTGGGTTAGAAAATCTCTAGTTTGGGGCTCTCCCTGAAAGCCTTGAGTCTCCTTGAATACTTTGAGTCTGTTGGGAAGTGGCAGATGGGGTGTGGGGATCAGCATCAGCAAGCTGTATCCTACTCCACCCAAAGTCATCCAGCAGCCACACCTAGGTAGTAGTCTCACTTTGCTGAAGAAAAAGGGAGAGAGGGGAGGGGAGGGAAGGAGAAGGTGGCTAGGGCCACCTTCTTGCCTGCTACCCCATGAAGCAAGTTTTATCTCACATAATCAAACAGGTTTGAGAGAAGCAGAGCTGGGGCTAGCCCAGGGAAAGCTCAGCAGGTACTCCAAGAAAAAGGGCCCAGGCCTGTGCTTCCTGCCTCCTATCTGCTTCTCCCTATCACAGTCTGAGAACCAAGCCTGCCCAGAGGCCACACCTTCCTTGCCTCTGTGATGTGCTGCATATATGTTACACTGTTGGCAGGCTCAGGCATGCTGGGTACCCACTGGGTACTCCTCCTAGCCTCAATTTCCCTTCCCAGACAGGACAGCTCTGACATCTAGCCTCCTTCATCCTCTATTCATGCCACCCAGGCCCATAACTAGGAACACAATGTTTTAAGGGGATGCAGCCAGATCTTATGCTGAAGCTGCTTCTGTCTTCTCCACATTTTCCAGCTGCTAATGCCATAAACTCACTTTGGCTCGGCCTGAGGCAAGTCCAATGGCCCACCTGGCCAGGTTCTACTGGTGTGCTTCCCCTGGGGTGAGGGTGAGCCCTGCTTCTGAGTGTCTAGGGATACATCCCACTGTAGGATGAAGGGCAGGCAGCCGGGACCATGGAGCAAGGAGGAAGGCAGTAAACAGTAACTTTTGACTCTGGCTCCCAAGCCACAGCCCCCAGCTATCTGCCTTGCCACTATCCCTAGCAATCAACTCCCTCTGCTGACCCTGAAGTTCAGAGATAGGTCACTGGGCATCTCTTGTGGAGATTAATATGGAAAGATTTTGCATCGAGACAAAGGCCTGGCCAGCCCAAAACTTCTCCATGTTACTATCAGCCTGTCAGATTTGGCTAGAGCCCTGGGAACACAAGCTTTCTCTACCCCAGCAAGAAAATAAAGGGTGGGATAGAATAGTGGGTGGGAAGGAGCTGTGACCTTAGGTAGGGCAGGCATCAGCCCTGAGAGGCTAGGGCAGATCCAGGCTGTGGGAATATCTTCCAGCCAGGGCATTGACCCTGAGAGTGCTCTCTGTCCTCCCATACTGCTTGTCAATGAGATGGAGAACAGAGCCTGTTCTGGCCTGGGAGGGCTGCACTGAGTGCCTGGTGCCAAAGGAACAGCCTCAGGGTCAGTGGCTACCACTGTTCCCATGTGGTCCAGCTGAGCTATTCTACTTCCCTTTGAAGGTTATTGGTACAGAACTCACTATTTGGTTGGGTTTGTTTTTGCAGTGCGAGGGATGGGACCTAAGGGCTCTTGCTTGTCAGATAAGCATTCTACCTGAGCTACAATCCCCCAAGGCCTCACCATCTGGAATAGCTAGGGTCTGGGGTGCCTCTCAGTAGGTTCCTCATGGGTGTGGCATCCAGACCCACTCCCCTCAGTCTTGTGTTCCTGTAGCTGGTTATGCTGCCTGTCTGAGACCACTTACCACCATGTGCTTTAAAAAAGGGCTCCCCAATGGGCCTAGGGTCTTCTGGAGGTACCGCTTTGACTCTTGACTGTGTTCTTGTGCTGGGAGATGAGTAGATCTTAAAAATGAATGCAGGAACCCTTACCTGTGCACCTCAGACAAGGACAGACTTGGAATGTAATCCCAGCCCTCTCACCAGCCTGATACAGACAGCTTATATGTGAATTCCACACACCCTGGCTAGACAAGGCTAGCCTACTGGGCCAGCCTTAGCAGAAACCAGTGCCTCCCTTCCTCCCTTCCTTTCTGGCTACAATGGGCCAGGGTTTCCTCATGCCTGCAGCAAGTACATGCTGAGCATAGTTCCCTGGGGTGAGGGTGCAGGAGGATGAGAGAAAAAAATTGGGGGTGGCTGGTGCTAAGGTGGAAGGTGGGGTCCCCTGCCAAGTTTAGGAGTATAAGGAGTTGAGCACAGAAAACTGAGGACTCACAATCATTCACTGAGGAATTCAGAAGACAACAGCAGGCTGAGTCTCTGTTCTGGGTGATGAGGAGGGACATCTTCTTCCCATTGGTTACTGTGTAAGCGTGGCTCTGACTTCCCCCAGCCCAAGCTCCAGCCTTAACAGGAAACTTAATCACCACAGCACACTGCCTCTACATTTCTACATTCTGCTCCCAACACCCACATGAGGGTGACAAGAGGGGTCAAGACACTGACTCCTAGGTGTATATCCTGACTTCAGTGTTCTCTGGGCCTGGCTATGAACAGGGCTCCCCACCTGGGAGTCCAGTGCAGTCTCAAGGTGGTGGCTAGTAGAGAAACTTAGGCTCCCAGGTCTCTGAGCTGCAGGAAGATGCTAGGGTCCTAGTAGGTTAGGCAAAACTGTCAGTGTTGCCAGACTGTTTAAAGAACTGCCCAGAATAAACCCTATCCAGTTCCCTGTGCCCTGAGGGCTCACTCAGGGAAGGCTACCAAGAGCTTCTGAGAGAGCCAGTTCATGTCCTGCCCATTTCTTCATACTGTGTGTGGTATAGCCAAATGGGACCTCTAGCCACCATGGAATCCACTTTCCTCTCCTTCTCCCAAACCCCAGCAGACCTACAACAAGCCATTGCTTGCTAGCTGTGATCCACCAGAACCCCTATTGCTTCCCCACTTGGCTATCTTCACCCTCCCCAGTCAGAGGACTATTACCTGCAGAACCATCTGTTGCCAGGCCATTGGCAGGGGCTGCCCACTGCCCACCGTACCACCACTACCCATGCCAGGCTGCTGGGCACGCTCCAGCTGCAGGGCAACGTGGCGCCGCTCTTGCTCCAGTGCCCGTGTCAACCGCTCAAAGCGGGCCTCCTGCTCCTTCACCGACGCCAGAATGCTGGCGGCCGAGTGCATGTTGCAGTCCTCCATGACCAGGGTGCCAGCCGCCTGCAGGCAAAGCAGAACAAACTCAGGGTGGAGCGGAGCAACGTCCTGGGTCCTCTGCCACTCCTGTCACAGATCACACAACTCACTCCCAGACCAGAGCATCCAGCTCTCTGGAGGGAAGCTGCACTGATTAAATTCTAAATTAAAAGCCATTAATCCGAAGCTGGCCGGAAGCAGGTAGCTCCCTCCCTGTGAGGCTGGGGCTCTGACCCAGGCTCCTCTGTTTCCTGCCAAGCCCAGCAGAGCCATGGACTGTGGGTGTCTCAGAACCTGGGAGGAAGGGTGAGAAGAGACAGTGTAATGAGCACTCTCTATTTCAGCTTCCTGCTGCCCACGGCACATGCTGGCTAATTCCAATCTTATGAAACCACCCCAGTCTGGTCTCACAGAGGTGGAAACTGAGGTTCACTGTGTCCACTGTTCATAGACACATAGCCAGTATGGCCAAGTCAATGCAGCCAGCAGGCAGGGAGTGAGGAGGTACTCTACTATAAGCATGAGACACAAAGGCAGGGAGGTGAGGACCACTACCATGGAGCTCTCAAAACACTGGCCTGTGGACCAGGGGTCCAGTTTCTACTAATAGCCACTGCATCCAGGACAGGGTAGTCTCTGCTTCTCATGGCTAAGTACAGCAGGACTGAGGTTCTGGCAGGGGCTATATGAAGTTTAGAATCCCTATGTCCATAGGTTGCCTGTGTGAGAGGCCTGGCCCAGAAGAGGGCAGTGCCCAAACATCTTAGGCCTAACCCTTAGGAAGTTCTGGCCTCCCCATGCCCTAGCCCAGTGTTGCTCCGTGGGTCCCAGAGCCCCAGGAGAGTAGGAAGAAGAGGCTTCGAATTTGCAGCGATAAGCTAGCATTTTTCCTTGCCATTTATTCTTTGGCTGACCAGTGTGTTTGTTTTACATGAGCAACAAAAAGCAGGGCCAAGTATGCAGAGCACAGATCGAGGCTCTAGGCTGCAGGCGGGATACAGCCGTACACCACAGTATCCAGAGTTCAGTGGGTGGCCTGATCCTTGAGGCCTGCTCCTAGCTGGTCCCATGCCAGCCCACTGAGGAAGACTGCTAGACCACTCACCCCTGAACCAATATAGAGTCTGAGCTCAAAGAAGGAAGACCCCTGCGTGGAAATGTCACACACATGCTGGTGACACCCACAGAAGGCCAGCTCTGCTGTTCAGTGGCCTGGATGGAGCCCTAGAGAGGAAGGCTAAGTCTGGGCTTAGCCATACCAGGACACGGGAACCTCAGAGGTAAAGAGCTAGACTCCCTGGCAAGACAGCTAGGGAAAACAAGGCCCAGTGAAGGCAAGAAGTCAGTGTCGGCCCCCACAGCTGTTCTCATTTCCTCTGCACCTGTCACACAAATAAAACTGCCAATGTGACCCTGCAGAGACACTGGCACTGGTGTGGGCAGAGGAACTGTTGTCAGTCAGCCATAGCCTAAAAAATGAGCCAAACTCCTGTTGGAGAGGTAGCAACCACCACTGGGGAGGAGTGAGGAGTGAGGTGCAGCCTGGATTCTCTGGACACCATGGCACATAGGAACAAAAGGCACTGTCACAGCAGGGGTGCTCAGCCTGCCATCAGATGGCCTGGCTGATAGGAGGAAAGGCACTGATAGAAGGAAATGTACTGAGTCTGGGAGAGGGTCCCAAACTAGGGGAAGTGGGGTTCCTCCAGTCAGGGTCAGGGTGGGTTTGGAGCCTAGCTACCTGAATTCCTCCTGAATTCTTGCCTGGAACATCAGCCCACCTCAGCTGAGTGTTAGAACTGTGAAGCAGAAGGGGATGTTACTCTAGTGTGTCCTGACAGATAGCTGTTAACTTTGTGGACAACACTTAGCTTCCTTCCCTCTTGTGTAAAAACAGAGATTCTTGCCTTACCATCTGGTTTCGTCCCTCCAACCCCCATCTGGCAGAACCAAGCCTGGACTACAGACACCAGAGATAGCTTCCCAGCCCCAAGTCACACCAAACTTGCAGCTCTGGGATCCAAAAAGATTCACTCTGAGAGTGCCCACTGGTTCCAACTATGGTTGGCTGGGGGCCCAGAACTCCTAGGCCATAGTAAGACAGTAACAAAACCCCACACTCACTTTCCCGTTGCCCAATTCAGATTGCTCAGAGTGAAACGACTGTGTGTTTCCCAGGTAACACCCCCAAACACTGGCTAGAATTCAGGGGGGAAAGAGTCTTGGCAACTCTCATAGAAGAGCAGAGGCCTAGGTGCTGGGCCCCTGGCCATCTTTCCAGCCTATGTGCACCCTGTGTACACTTGGATGGGGCACTGACCCCAGAGGCTGTGGACACTGTTCTAGGGTAACCAGGAGAGCCCTCACACATACCAGCACATGGGACATAGGTGACACAGGTCTAGCACCTAAAAGGGCAGCTTTTTGGATGGTAATTCAAAATGCTATTTTTATATTAAAACAATAAATATTTGGTGTCGTGGAAAGAAAAATGCATGAATTTTTAAGATTGACCATGGAGACTTCAAAGACAGTTCTCACAGCTGGGGCTTGGGGCACAAAGCCATAGATCTTGCAAGAGGGTAGGCACCAGAGAGGTATCTGCTGGAGGGACTGTCTCAGGGGCAGTCAGGGAAGTGTGCTACTTGGTTGATGGTGCCTTCCTGCCTTCCTGGAAAGCCGCCCCAGACACACCTCCCAGACCCCAGCAATCAGCTGCACTGTTGCTTCAGAGGCTGCTTCTTGCCAATGTGCAATGAGAGTTGATTTTTCAATGAAACAGAACAACAGAGAGAACCCCCAGTGTGACCAAACACTAGAACCATGTGAACCAGAACCAAGCCAGAGAAACTCAGGAACTTCGGGAGAGGTGACTGGGAAAGTCAGGACTGGGCTTACACCTGGAAAACTCAATTGCAAAAAGAAAAGTGATTGCCAGATGTAGTTGCATATACCTGTAAACCCAGTACTTGGGAGGCAGAGGCAGGAGGTCGGCCTAGTCTACATAGTTCAAGGATAGCCAGCCTGCATAGTGAGGAACCTATCTCAAAAACCAAAAACAGAGCTAGGGAGACGGCTCAGCGAGTAAAGTGCTTGCTACAAGACTAATGACCAAATTCAGATCCCAATAATCCTGGTATGCCTCTACCAGGAAATAGGAGACAGAGATGGGAGAATTCTGGAAGCCAGCTAGCTTGCCATATACGGCAGAGAATTATAAGAGAAACCTTGTCGGCAACAAGGTGGATGGTGAGGACTAACACCCAAAACCCACCACACATGCACTAAGGCACGGAGGCATCCATACTCACATACACAAACACATGTACACACCTACAAACACATACCAGGGACCAGAGAGATGGCTCAGTGATTAAGAGCATTTGCTGCTCTTGCAGAGGATCTGAGTTGTGTTCCCAGCACCAGCCACCCAAATAGTAGCTCACAACTATTTGTAACTCCAGTTTCAGGATGATCTGATACCCTCTTTTAGCCTCTGTGGGCAGTGCATGCACATGGTGCACATACATGCAGGCAAAACTTACTCATACACAAAATAATCTTTTAAAAAAGTCAACAAAAGCAAAAACAAAACAAAATAAAATAAAAAATAGTCACAGAGCAATAGACTGAGCACTCAGTTATTGCCCAGCATCAAGCTAAGAATCTCTGACCTATGCTCTCATAACCCACCTGGGCAGGGAGAGGCACAGAGCAAAAGCCCCAGGCAGAAGCAGTCTGATCCAGGCCACAGGGCACAGAAGGATACTGGAGAAACAGTAAACCAGAGACAGGGAGGCAGAGGAGGATATGATTGGACAGAAGAGGGACTAGGGAGATGAGAAAGCATAGGTAGCACAGTACAGACAGATTAATGAGTAAATGGACAACTGGAGGGGCGCTATGTTTGAGAATGAATAGATAAGAGAATGGTGGATGGAGGGATGATTATGGGTGGATAGACTGGAAGGTGAATGGATGGATGAGTGAGTGGATAGATTAGTGAGTTAGTGGAGGGAAGGATGGGAGAACAAGAGGATGGATGGAGGCGGAGGAGCTCATGAGAGGTTGAATCGAGGGATAGTTTGATGGGTGGGAGACTAGGTAGATGGAATGGTTAGAGGCTGGAGAGCCGGGGTAAGACCAAATGAGAATGGTTAGATGGGAGTGTGGATGGTGGGCCCTTTGCTTGCAGCTCAGTAGGAACTAAGGTCTCAGAACCACAGGAAGAGGGTGCCTAGTACCTGTGTCATCTGTAGCAAATGTGGCCAACACTCACTCTATGGGGAGAGCACAGGCATCTTTAGAGGAACTTTGGATGGAGACTGAATCTTTCCTCTGAAATCCAAATCAGCATTTGCTGTCTTCTTGCTGACCCAGACATTCTTCCTCTGAAGAAGCACAGCCAAAGGCCTGCCCTGGAAAATCAAATTACAGGGCTGAGGCCAACTAGGATTGAGGAATTAAAGGAATTTCCTAAGGGTCAGGCCAGCAGGGGGCGGGAGGGAACCTGGGCTCCAGGCTTGAGTCCCTGCTAGCAACCTATTAGAGCTCAGGAGGGGACAGGGAACATGAGCCTCCTATTCCACACTCCACACTCTGCCCAACCCAAGGAGGAAGAGGACGTGGCACCAGAAAGTAGCCTGGCAGAAGCTGAACCCAGGCCCAGCATTGTCAAAACCCATCCTCTCTGCCTAGGAGGACATCATGGGAACTGCCTCTGTTGCTTACTATCAGCTCTGCCAGCACAGGAGACTTGCTTCCTATACACGGGTGGCCATGCCTTGAGAGGACCCCATCATTATTCTGTCATCCTTATTGGGGTCAGATGGTACCCAGACCTCAGGAATGGCTTCTGACTAAGACTAAAAGGCCAGGCACTGTGCCCAGGCTGGGGACAAGGAGGAAGAGGTCTGGAGCATGACATTCACACAATATGTCTGTGACAAGGCCAGGACCACAGGGCTCTGGCAAGTGGTGCAGGGCCTGGGGTGCTGGGCTAAGGAATGGTTGTTCTTAGACTCTCAGTAGTAGCATAAAGATGCACCAGCAGGCCGGGTGTGGTGGCATACACCTTTAATCCCAACACCAGCAGGATTTTGTGAGAATGAACCATTTCTGTACTTTTTTTTTTTTTTTTTTTTTTGGTCTTTTTGAGACATGGTCTCCCTGTAACCAGAGCTGGCCTGGAACTCACTATGTAGACCAGGCTAGCCTTGAACTCACAGAGATCCACCCACCTCTGCCTCCCGCGTGCTGGGGTTAAAGGCATGCGCTACCATGCCTGGCCTCATTTCTGTATATTAAAAAACAAACAAGCACCAGGCACTTGGGAGGCAGAGGCAGAAGGATCTCTGTGAGTTCAAGGCCAGCCTGATCTACATACTGAATTCCAGGCCAGTTGGGGCTATACCCTGTCTCAAAAAGACTAAACAAACAAACACAGCATGGTCATTTTTTAAAAAGGCAGCACACTGAGTAACAGATGCAGTAATCATTTTGGCTAGTGTAACAGCCAACCCTTCACTTCTACAGTGACTACAGCACACTGGAGCCTGGGGTAGGGTGAGAAGACCACCTGCACTCTGCTTTCCATTTTGTGCTTTAGTCATTTACCAGAAGAAAAAGTGGAAGGAAGCTACATGCAGTGGCATGCTCCTGCATTCTGAGCTACTCAGGAGGCTGAGGCAGGAGGATCATGAACCCAGAAGCTCAAGATCAGGCTGGGCAACACAGTGATACCCCATCTCAGAAAAACATGGAGGTGGGGGAGATGGTGGGGGAGAGAGGGAGGAAGGGAAGGAGGAAGGGAGGGAGGGAAGGAGGAAGAGAAAATCAGTTATGCAGAATTTCAAAAGACAAGGGCTGGAGAGGGCTCAGCAATTAAAAGCACTGGCTGCTCTTGCAGAGGACCTGGGTTTGGTTCCCAGCACCCATATAGCAGTTAACAACCCTCCATAACTCCAGTTCCAGGGGATCCAACGCCCTCTTCTGACCTCTGCAGGCACTGCACAACACAAGTGCCCTTACACAATGCAGACAATACACTCATACACATAAAATAATAAAATATTTTTAAAAAGAATTTCAAAAGACAATTGGGCTGGGCATGGTGGCCCATGTCTTTAATCCCAGCATTTAGGAGGCAGAGGCAGGCAGATCTCTGTGAGATTGAGGCCAGCCTGGCCTACACAGCCAGTTCCAGGCCAGCTGGGGCTATAAGAAAACCGTGTCTCAAAGCAAAGCAAAATAAAACAAAACAAAAACAAGACAAACACCCAAAACTCAAAAACAAACAAAAAAGGTTATTGCATCTGAGATTAAGTATATGAAACATCCAGTAATAAATACCCTAGGCCAGCCGTGGTGGAATATACCTTTAATCCCAGTACTTGGAGATTGAGATAGGCAGATTTCTGTGAGTTTGAGGCCAGCCTGATCTACATAGTTAAGTTCCAGGCCAGTCAGGGGCACATACTGAAACCCTATCTCCAAACAAACAAGAACTCAAAAAACAAAAAATACTTTAATAGTAATATTCTTAATCCATAAAGTGCTCTTCATATAAATCAGCCAAAAAACAAAACCCTGAAACTGGGTAAAATAAAATACACATGTGACATGGCTGGAAGTGAAGACTTCAAGCAAGAGGCATGGGAATGCTGACATGCACAAGTATGCAACAAAAAAGACATGTATGCACAAAAAAGACTGGAAGGACCTGTGTCTTGGGGTCACAGTACTGAAGAGTTCTGGTGCTGGGGATGGTCTAGAGCCCCACAGTCATATGCATCTGAGGATAAGGGGCTACGGGTATAATCCAGTTCTAAGAAAGAGGAAAAGGCAGCTGTCTTTCTACCAGGCGCTGGAGACTCTAAGTCTATGGGAAAGGGGAGGGGGGCCAGTGTCTGCTGCCTTAGGGAAGCATCTGGATTTTCAGGCAGCCTGGAGAGTCCTAATCAGATTCAGCCTGGAAATTAGATTCCCCACAAGAGGCAGGCCATGCTGGCAAAAGCACTGGGAGTAAGGAGGATTGAGGGAGATGCCCTGCAGGGACTTCTGTCACCCAGGGTATGCCTATGGTGGCCTAGCAGTACTGTGGCTAGGGAATGGATCCCATGTGTAAGGGAATCCTTAGCTGGTTCTTGTCTTATACTAATGAAGCATCCTGGGCTGAGGGTTGTCCAGGGACAAGGAAAATTGGTCAGCCTCAGAGCAAGGGACTTCTGAATAGAAAGATCCAGGGGGATGCGGGGGGGATGGGACGGCTGACCTGAGATGCTGGGGTTCAGGTCAAAGCCAGGATGCTTTTAGAGCCAAGGATCCTAGTGGCCTGAGGTTTGAGAAGCCTGCAGTCTGGGGGCTGGCTGAACCTGAAGAGTGTCTGTCATAGAAGTGGAAGAAGTGGTGGACAGGCAGGTAGGCAGGTCAGCATTCCAGGGACTGTGTCTTCCTCTGCAGGAGGCCCGAGTCAGAGGGAGCTGCTGCTGGACACAGGGCTCAAGAATCTCCTTGGGGCAGATGCCTGTTCCTCATGTGGCCCCCTTCAAGACTCATGTTCCTTGGGACTCATGAGGACACAGGAGGCATGGAACACAGGAGCCCCCAACTAAGGATAGTCCCTGCTACTCCTTCTGTGCCTGACCTAGACAATAGTTGCTGCTGAGGGTGTTGTTGCCTTGTAGGCTCTGGAGGTAATGCTTAAGGCAGCAAGCTCCCTGCCCTCTGGGGTCTGCAGTAGCTGGTTGGTGGCATCTATGAGGGCTGCAGGTCCAAGAGCCCCTCTAGCACTGGGTCCTCTCACAGATGCTCAGGGAATCTCTCTGGGAATGGAGCCATTCCCTATTTGATCAGAGGTGCTGCTGGGCCACCCTGGGAGGCAGAAGTCCCTGTAGGACATCTATCCTACCCCCTCACAGATGCTCAGTGCACTCCACCCCTGATAATAAGGACCACAAAAGTCTGGTGTTGGGGAGTGGAGGTGGCCAGTCAGTTGCTTCTACTCCCCTGAGGGGAACCTAGACTGCAACATAGTACTGTCACTCCCCATCTCAGGAAGACAGGAAGTGGTTGTTGAGGTCCCAGGCACAGAGTTCTTGTCTTCTGCCTTCTGGGAGTGGGCACAGAAAACAAGGCACCTTCAGGCAGCAACTGAGGCTCACAGAAGGCAGTGGAGGTCCACCCTTATCCCTACCAACATCCGTGGTCTCACAGAGGCCCTGTCAGGGACAGTGTCCTGCAGGGTAAGGGCTGTAGCTGGGCAGGTGCAGCAGTCACTGTGCTGGCTGCCAGCCCTGCGCACTGTGTCCTTGGCCTGCAATGTTCTTCTCCCCCTCAGATGGTGGGACCCCCTTCTGCCAGGCCCCTCCATCACCATGGCAACACCCAGACTTCTCTAGAGGGACAGAGCCTCTTTGTGGTGACACAAAGCCCCTTTGAGGTACAGCCCCTGCTGTAGTCAGAGAGCCTCTGAGGGACAAAGGTGGCCCCCAGTCCAGCCTCCCAGGGTACAAAGCCAAAGAGGTGGGGTGGGAAAGCCTGGTGGTTAGGTGCTGGGATCTGACTGCCCACAGAAGGGCTCCTTGGTCAGGGGCAGCTGGGTAAGTCTGGTCAGAGAAATCCCAGCACAAGAAGTAGCTGTCCTCAGAGCTAGGGAGTCTTTTATTCTCTCCTATGTCCTGTGACAAAGGAGGAACTCTGTTAGAATGGTGGGAAAGGCCTTTGCAACAGTGGACTTTCGTGGGATGGGAAATGCCTGGATATGGGGACAGTGCTGGGCTGGAAACTCTCAGATAACTGGAGTGCAGAAAGTCCTCAGAGGACAGGCAGGCAGGGACCATACAGTTTGTAAGCTGGATGGAGAGGGTCAGGTTTGCTGAGGGCATGGCAATGCATCTAGGTCCTGTCCTAGCTCTGTGCCTTCATTTCTCTGGCCTCAGCTTCCCCTGTCATAGTAGATCCCAACTTCCCTGCTTGCTCTGGAAAGAATGTGGCCAGCCCAGCAGTGGAGCCTGGAACAGTCTTGCTATGCCCACAACCCACGGTCAGGCCTAGACAGAAGGGCCTCTCACTGTGGACTGGCTCATTCCAAGATTGGGGATATAGAGCCCTGAGGACAGTATAAGTCCTACACATGGTGGTGACAGGGACCCAAAACAAGCCTTCCCTAGCAGAGCAGCTGTATGTGCACTCCAGCTCGAGAGGCAAGAAGATGGCCAAGCCACCCCACAGCAAGCCTCAGGCCCCAGAGGTGGCCCAGTCAGAGCTTCACCATGTTATCCTGGTCTGAGGGTCCTGCCCATTTTGACTGCTGCTGAGCAGGCGCTTGGCAATGCCCTAGCATGCTGGGCATTCTGCCCAGAGGCCCTCCCCAGGTGACCTCAGTCTGACCTATAGCAGCTTTGCTAACTAAGCCCCT